GGTGCCGAGGAACGCTTCTTTTCCCCCGCGGATGGCGCCCCATTGTAATATTTGAAAATCCTTTCTTAATACACATCTACAACATAAAAAGAACCTACACAAACATTTTTAGCCTCCGAAAATATAGCGGTACGGAGGAATAGTGATGAATAGGTAATTCTCATATGTAAACGCCCCTCTTTTATCCTCAGTGGGAACTCCCCAGTTGGAATATTCAAAAATTATTTTTTATTGCACATCTACAACATAAAACAAGCAAACAAATAAAATTTCATCCCCCGAAAATATAACGGTACGGAGGAACAGTGACTAAAAAGTAATTTACATATGTAAACGCGCCCCTTTTTACCGCCACAAGGGATCTCCAGTTGGAATATTCAAAAATCCTTCCTTATTGCACATCTATAACATTAAACAATCCTACATACCCAATTTCAGCCTCCGAAAATATAGCAGTACGGAGAAACGGTGACTAAAAAATAATTTACTTATGTAAACGCCCCCCTTTTTACCGTCACAAGGGATCCTCAGTTGAAATATTCAAAAATCCTTTCTTATTGCACATCTACAACATAAAGCAAACCTACATATAAAATTTCAGCTTTGGAAAACATAGCGTTACGGAGAAACAGTGATGAAAAGGTAATTTACATATGTAAATGCTCCCATTTTTACTGCCCCCCAGTTGAAACATTCAAAAATCCTTTTAATTGCACATTTCAGCCTCCGAAAATATAGCGGTACGGAGGAACAGTGATTAAAAAGCAATTTACATATGTAAACGCGCCCCTTTTTACCTCCACAAGGGGTCCCTAGTTGAAACATTCAAAAATCTGTTCTCATTGCACATCTACAACATAAAGCAAACTTACATATAAAATTTCAGCCTCCGAAAATATAGCGGTTCGGAGAAACAGTGATGAAAATCTAATTTACATATGTAAACGCTCTCTTTTTTACTGCCCTCCAGTTGGAACATCCAAAAATCCTTTCAATTGCACATCTGGAACATAAAACGAACTTACATATAAAATTTCAGCCTTCGAAAATATAGCGGTACGGAGAAGCAGTGATGAATAGGTAATTTACATATGTAAACGCCTCCTTTTATCCTCACGGAGGGCGCTCCGGTTGGAATATTTGAAAATCCTTCCTAAGTGCGCATGTAGGACTCAAGAAGCACCTATATACCAAATATTAGCTTCCTAGGACTCAACAGTATAGAGAAACAGAAGAGTGAGTGAGTGTTAAGTCAATGACTTTCGCATTTATAAGTATACTTTGAATCAAAGTATTCGACAAAAAAGCGCATTTATATTTTTGATCTGATTTAGGATTTTTGCGACTGTGTAGATAAGAATCCACAAAAGGTTACCCCAGTAACAGCTTGACAGCTTTCACTGACAACTGATAGTGATAATTCGCTTCATTTCATTTCGTTTAATTCTTCAAAAATGGTTTTCACCAATTATTTAGAGAAAAAAAAACAGAAGCAATCCTCATTTACGCTGAGGTCAAACGTAATTTTCATGAGGCATAAATTGTGTTCAATGGTAGATTTCCTGATAATCCGATCTGTGAAAACTGGTAAGTAGTAGAGCTAGAGAAGCTGAAATAAAATCTATCTCGGTCGAGAAACAGATAGAAATCGTTTTGTCTGTAGTGAATAACCCCTTGAAGTTCACGACAACAGAAGACATTAGTTTCACCTGTATAAACATGAATTAATTGAAGGTGACCCTGACAGAAGAAAGTAGTTTTGTTAGTTATTGATCGAAAGTTCTGCATAACTGCATAAAAGGTATTGGTTTTAGTGACGAAAGCACTTTTTTTTTGGACGAAAATATCAACCGCCAAAATATGCGATAGTGGTCAAACAAAAACTCTTATATTTTTTGAGATCACACCCAAACTTCTGAGAGACTAATCTCTGGGAATATTGGTAAATTATATTGGTATTCCTAAATATCTAGAGGAAAATCCGACTGATGATTTATATTTGAAAATTCTTCAGAACCTCATTCACCCACGAGTTCAAGATATTGTGACCAACAATCAAAATGAGTGAGGGATTGGTCAGATCTGACATACCCAAGACTTTGGAATGGTAGGCGCGGTCCTTTGGAATAGCCTGTTCGTTCACCGGATTTGAGTCCTCTCATTTTTTCTTTCGGTGCTTTATCAAATCGAAAGATTATATTACCTATCCTGGGACAACATGAAAATTAGATCCAGAATTACCGAAACTTGTGCTACCATTACCCACGAAACATTCAAAATGTTAGAAATTTGTTCGGAAATAGGCTGTTTCACTGTCAGAGGGTCAAGGAGAACAT